TTTTTGAAGTTCGTTCGCTACGCTCACTCACCTTTAGGTTGGAGCTCGTTCGCTGCGCTCACTTTCCTTCAGGTTAGCTCGTTCGCTACGCTCACTTGCCTTCAGGTTAGCTCGTTCGCTACGCTCACTCGCCTCCAGGTTGAAGTTCGTTCGCTACGCTCACTCACCTTTTGCTGTTGTCATAAATGTAAAAGAAATAATAGTGCTAGTGCTGCACCCTGTTGGTAATCCTTGTAACTTTTAATGCTATTGAACATCATAGAACATAACCAACTTGTTTAATTGAAACAGCTGTTAAGATTCATTAATTCCATTTCTCATAAGGTTAACATGGGAAACTCCAGAGCCACTGGGGCGGAGCCCCGAAGGATTTTTTGGGATAAAAATATGCCTATATGTTAATCGGGAATGTGAGCTATCATCATGCCAAATTTCAGCCCGATCCGACCAGTAGTTTTTGAGATTAGCTCATACAAACACACACACAGACACCACCTCTTCTTTATAATAGTAAGAATATAGATAGATGTATGTATGCTTGCTTGCTAGCTTGCACCAAGATCTCGAAAACGGCTCCGACGATTGTCTTCAAATGCTGTAAATAGTTTATTCCTGGCCTAAAAACGAGTTTACTGCAGTTAGAACTGCCAACAAAAATCTAAGAAAAATGAAACCGAAAGTCACATTTCTTTTAACATTTTTCTTATGGGTTGCTAAGTAACAATTTTGGCTGAATTAACCCAATAAGCAAAAAATTGTTAAAAATTTTCAAAGGTCGTATTACAATTGTTGTATAACAATTTTAAAACATTTTGATTGTAACTTCATATTGCAACAATTTTAATATAAAATTGAAACAATTTTAAAATTGTTTAGCAATCAGTTTTTTTCTGTAAAAAAATAAGTTTTAATACAAGTTGTAACTATTTTACAACAATTTTAAAGTTGTTTAGCAATCCGTTTTTTCCAGTTTAAAAAAACAAGTTTTAATTCAAGTTGTAACTATTTTACAACAATTTTAAAATTGTTAAACAATCAGTTTTTTGCAGTTTAAAAAATAAGTTTTAATACAAGCTGTAACTATTTTACAACAATTTAAAAATTGTTTTATTCTTAGTTATTTTATAAACAATTTTAAAACAATGTTAAAATTGTTTACAATCCTATTTAACAATTGTTTGTCAACAATATATTATTATCTTTCTTTTTTTTATTATCTTTTCTCAGAAGCAGAAATGAGTCTTATCTCTATTTCTGTCTGTCTGTCTGTCTGTAACACTCAAGATGGCATTTTACGCTATCTTCTCCGTAAAAACGAGAGTAACTAACAAGATCCAAGTTTATTTTAATATATTCACTGGATGGGCGAGAGTGTCTTTAGTCATTAAAATATGGCCTCACTACTTTGTAAATAAAATTACGGACGTTCAAAAATGCAGTTTTGTGCGATTTTTGTCAAATTTTCGTTCAATTTTTATCACATAATCGTCTATGAAATAACGAACAGCTGTTCGGATCAAGATAATTTTTTCTAGCTGTCACTGATATGTTTACAAATGTTGTTTACAAATACCGCAACCATTTCGAATCACGTTTTGAAAGCAAATCCCAACCAAGTGAGATGAAATAGTAGCCTATATTTCGTACCTAGGGCCGAAAATGAGGTTTTGCCGGCTCGAGATAGTTTTTAAATTCGAGACGAAGTCGAGAACTTAAATCGATCGAGAGCCGCAGAACCATTTCGGTCCGTGGTACGAACGCTATTTTTCACCACACTATACCCTATTACCACTATTCACCACTATAATAATGCACACTGATAGTAAACACAACTACAACTTTAAGGTTATGTGAAGAAATAATTTGAGGAATCAGCAAAAATAAAAACAAATTGAAGGGTAACAGGTCCGCGACGTAGGAAGGGGCGAAGGCAATAGTAAAGGCAAGCAGTCTGGAGTGTGGGAACTGTTTATGACGATTAGATTTAGGTATCTGAAATCCTTAAATGCTATGGGAAGGGAAGGAAACAGGTCCATGATGTAGGAAGTGATGACGGAAGTAGTAAAGGCGAGCAGTCCGGAGTGTGGGAACTGTTTACGACGATTAGATGAAGGTATCTGCAATCCCAAAATGCTATGGGATAGGTCCATGACGTAGGAAGTGGTGAAGGAAGTAGTAAATGCGAGCAGTCCGGAGTGTGGGAACTGTTTATGACGATTAGGTTAAGATATATGCAATCCTAAAATGCTATGGGAAGTGAGGGAAACAGGTCCGTGACGTAGGAAGTGGTGAAGGAAGTAGTAAATGCGAGCAGTCCAGTGTGTGGGAACTGTTTATGACGATTAGATTAAGGTATCTGCAATCCTAAAATGCAATGGGGAGGGCGGGAAATAGGTCCGTGACGTAGGAAGTGGTGAATGAAGTAGTAAAGGCGAGCAGTCCGGAGTTTGGGGAACTGATGATGACGATTAGATTAATGTCCATCTGCAATCCTTAAATGCTATGGGATGGGAGGGAAACAGGTCCGCGACTTAGGAAGGGGTGAAGGAAGTAGAAAAGGCGAGCAGTGTGGAGTGTGGGAAATGGAAACAGTTTGTAGCAGTTAGAATAATGTATCTGTACTGAAATGCTATGAGAAGGGATGAAAACATGTCCACGACACAGGAAATGGTGAAAGAATAAGCAAAGGCTAGCAGTGCGGAGTGTGGGGAATGGATTCATGTATTTGCAATAAAGACTGCTTTCAGAGTAAACTAATGATTTTCCCCCGATCAAAGCTCGGTCCCCAGGTACTTAAATTAAATCATGTAAACTTTGGAAGCATGCCAGGCGTAGCCCTTTGGAAATCAGCCTGTGGGGCAGAGCCCTTAGGAAATTCGTCCATATCAATACTTTTCGGCAAATCTACACACTCTAAGCTTTATTTTGATGTTCCATATGCCTACATTTTTATTTGGTAAATTGCCTTAACCGTTTACATAAAATTTGATTTTATCACTTTAATAATATAATAGATTTCTCTTATAACGCCATCTCCATTTTAGGAAGTCACACGTCAGTAAATAAATTCTTATCATGAACAAGCTGTGGGAGTAACTATGATACTTTATTGGTAAAAAATGTATAACGGTCCAGCACAACTGTGACAACTACAGGGATTGTTAAAACTGAATTTCACTAAAAAGAAGCCAGGAATATTGTATACCATTAGCGTCAGAATTTTATTCCAAAACAGATTAGTTCAAACATTTTTCTAAATAACAGAAGAATAATCATCTACAAAGGGGTTTCATTATCGTACATAAAAAATGAAATTCTCCATTATTTTCATAACAGTGATTTTAAAAATCTATATATACTAGGTTTGCTTTCATAGCAGTGAAAGCCAGTTGAGCGGAGCGATCATGTTTCATAGTTTAAAAAATCAATTGGCCTAAAAAACAAAAACGTTTATAGATAAAATGATATAATACAACTATTTTATCAATTTAACTTATCAGTTTGTATCAGAACTATTAACATCCAATACAAGTTTCATAATTAAATATTTGGACATTACATACATATCCGTTGTATCGGCATTTTTCCTGGGTTTGCTTGCTAAGTCATCTGGTGAACCCACAATTCTGGTTGATCCCGGCCTTGAACCTAAACCAATCAACATTCTCTCAATCTTGGGCAGATTTTGGAATCCAGGCAGAAATAATCCTGCATTATATACCCTAATTCGTTCCCAACACAAAATCAATGCAAGTGAGTGGTCAAAACGATGATAACTTAAAAAATATTTCAAATTTTTTAATAGGTTGGGAAGTATATAGAACGCGTTGTTTGAACTCAGTGGTAGAACGGGTGTTTTGTTGATAATAGCAAAAATAAACATTCACATTTTTGTTGTTACATTAACATTATTCTAACAATTTAACAATATGCTTTATTAGTTAAATCAGCTTACGTTTCCACTTGAAAACAAGCATTAATTACGGGTTACATTTCACAATACTTTAAGAAGATTACTTGGACTGTTTTAAGTAAATAATAAGAAAGCATGTTCGTAATAGCCTATTTAGATAAAAAAAATATTGATTTGAGAATACCTAGTTATTTAAAACTGCAGATTCATGTAGTTGATTTCGAATAACATAAGATAAATGTTATTTGTTATAACCTTATTTAGCTACGTAAATCGAATCTGAAAATACTGTACCTATTCGATCAGTGGTCGTTTCCAAATTGCAACGTAAATGTAAACTTAACACTTTCTCCGTATTATCTGATCAGTGGTCATCATCCGGATTTCTTTCCTTTGTACTGTGTTTAGGTCGTGGCTTGATTTTAACATATGCTATGATTCTTTGTTTTGTTTACATTTACGTCATTATTTTGTAACCATCATGGGCAACCCATAAAGCCAATGTTAAAATTAAAAAATAGTTATTTTTAAATTATATAGGCCCTAGGCTTTATCAAAAATTCAAATTGGTTACGTCTAAACCTTACAAACATTTGTCAAAAAAACCTTGGTAAGTTTGGCTAAAATATGTTCAGCCGTTATTGATTTAAAGTGTTAGAAATATTGTGAAGTCAATCCCAAAGAGCTACGCTTCACTCAGCTCAATTATAATTTCAAAAGTACTTATTTTGTCGGTACACCATAACTTCCTTAATATTTCACAAATTTTCATAAACTAGGGGTCATTTTAAAGCTTTTTTACCCACTACGCTAGGAAAGTATGCAAGTCACTAATTTTTCAGTAGACTAAGCGAATTTCCATTTACCTGGATGGATTTCTACTAAAATTGTAATAATCTATGTCTAATCTATGCCTCCCTTCTTTCATATACAGTTTAACTAACATATGTTTTATAGATTATTATGGTTTTTGTAAACAGTCCAAAAAAATACACATCTTTGGTCAAGTCTATCATTTTTGTCTTGTCTGTCTATAATATTTTTAACATTGGTGCCGAAACCCGACTTATAAATTATGTCAAGAAATATGTCAATCCGAAAGTCAGGGAGAGAGAAACACCCTCCAAATAGATATTCCCCAGAAAATGTAAATGACAAGAATGAGGAACCCATAGAAAGAGATAGTCAACCTCCAAAACCCCCTTCTAAGTCAAAAACCAAATCTTCAACTTCCAGCAAGCGCCGGTTAGTTCAACTGCAACTAGAAGAAATAGAAGAAATAAACAGGCTTGAGAAAATACATGAAGAAAGGGAGTTGCAACGGCTGAAAGAATTTGAAGAAAAGGAGATGGAGCGACAGAGACAAGATATGGAGCGTCAAATGCAGGAACAACAAAGGCAAAGAGAGGAGAGGGAAATGGAACGACAACGTCAAGCTGAAGCAAGAGAACTAGAACGACAGAAGCGTCTGCTGAGAGTAAGGACCGAACTTGAGTCTGCTTCGGTCTTGGGAAGTAGTCAGTCCGCCTCAGTCTTGGGCAGTCGTCATTTGGAATTGGAAGATAATGAAGACCCTGACAAGGTAAGCTTCAATATTGCTACTGTTGAGGAGGACTCTAATGTCAAAGTCAATAGGTGGCTGAATGAGGAACCGTCAGTTCCTTTGACATCATCAGCCATCGTGTCTACGGCTATTGATAAACTAGCAGACTCCTTTTCAAAAGCTATCAATTTATCTAACTCCAACCAACCTGTCTCTTGCCGACAGCGTCTTCCATCCTTCAGCGGGAAACCAGACGAATGGCCCATGTTCTATTCCTGTTACAATAAGACTAAACACCTTTTTAATGACGATGAAAACCTTGACAGAATAAGAAATTGTCTGGAGGGAGATGCCTTTAAAATGGTAAAACCTCTATTTATATCAGGTAAAAATTTGAGTACAGTAATGAAAACTTTACAAATGCGTTTTGGACGTCCAGAGTTTATAGTCGAGTCAATGTTGAAGAAGGCGCGCATGCTCCAACCAGTCAAGGAGGATGACGCTGTCAGCCTTATTGAGTTTTCAACAACTCTTTTAAACCTGACCTCTACCGCAGAGTCGTTGGATTTGGAAATGTACCTAATAAATCCTCTCTTGTTGAATGAACTTTTAAGTAAGCTCCCCTATACCCTGAAGTACAGGTGGGCTGAACATGTAAATAGCATGCATTTAGAAAAACCTACTGACCTGAAAGTATTCTGTAACTGGCTTGAAAATCAGTGTTCCATTATGAGTATTTATTTTCGTCCACCCGAGGAGACAACGCGGAAGAGAAGTGACCCTAAACCAGTTTTTACTAATTCGCCCAATGAAAACGTTTGCATGTTTTGCTCGGAGAGTCATGAAACCGATAAATGTAAGCTTTTTAGAAAAGCAGAAGTCTCGCAGCGGTGGAAGATGATAATTGAGAAAAAACTGTGTTTCTTTTGCTTCCGTCGTCACCACATCAAATTTTGCAATTTAAAGAAACCTTGTGGAATCAATGGGTGCAAACTATCCCACCATCGCCTTCTGCATACTGACAGTGCCACTAAAAATGCCCAAGAGATCAGCTGGGACAGAGTACAGAACACTTTCAGGCAGGAAGGTAAATCAAAAGAAGAATTTATAAGCAATCACTCGGTAAATAACCGCGTTTTACTAAGAGTATGTCCAGTGACATTATATGGTCCAAGCTGTCAGATCGACACATATGCACTTTTAGATGACGGTTCAACCATATCTCTACTAGATTCAACTACAGCCAATAAATTAGGCGTCAGTGGTAGCATTGAACCCCTTACCACTTGTTGGTCAAATGCAACTAAACATTTTGACCCAACGTCCAGACGAGTTGAACTTAAAATAAAAGGGCTCTATGAAGACGAAGTTTTCACATTGACTAATGTAAGAACTCAATTTCCCTTAGATTTACCCCAACAGTCGATCGATTCAGTAAAGCTTCGTGAGACATGGTCTCATTTAAATTCAATCGACCAACCTCTACCAACATCTCATGCCAAACCTACCATCTTGATTGGTCAAGATAATTGCAACCTAATATTGACAAGGAAAGTTGTGGAAGGACCTCCTAACTCGCCAGTTTTATCCTGGAGTTACTTAGGCTGGTCGTTGCATGGAAAATGTCCAGGATACAGTGGAGGACGTATCGATGACAACTTTGCTCTGACATGTTTTAAATATGATAAATTGTACAAAACAGCAGAGGAATCATTTGAGATTGACAACTACGGTGCAGAAAACATCTCCCAAGAGGAAAGGACTCAAAACAAAGATATGAAAATCAAAAAAGCACATTTAAACAGGGATCCAATAAAAGAAAAAGCGTTAGAGAAGGAATGCCAACCCCTGGAGGCTAAGAATATGATTCAAGACTCTGAGAAACATTCTGACATTCTCACCAGTGTCCAGACAGTCCGAGTGGTTGGAGAGAAAACGGAAGAGCCTGATAAAGAAAATGAGATAGGTCTAGTTGACGATGAGCTGATAGAAAATTCCAAAGTACTTGAAGTCTTGAAGGAAGCCATGCTGGAATCCAGTGTCAAAATCAAGAAAAAGATCTTTGCGGTAACTGGCAAAAGGAAGAATGTGAAAACAGAAGACAAAAAACTTAAAGCCAAACCTCTATGGGAAATGAAGAAAACGGAGAACGATTCAGAGTTGAAAATTTGTGGTGGATGTGATGTGCAGTTTGACAATACCTCCTTCTACAGACACAAGAAGAAACGTGTGTGCTGGAAGGAGCACAAGAATAACGATGACAATCAAACAAACAAGTGTGCTCAGTGTGGCTGCAAGTTCCCATGTCTGATGGCCTTGTTTAAACACAACTGTAGTCGCTCACAGGAACCTACGATGCCACAATGGTGTCTTGAAGAGCAGATGGCGGAGGTGCTAAGAGACAGCGTGGAGGACAATTCCAACTTGTCACCTATGAAAATATCCAGAGACGAGTCTGTGAGGAGAATGTCACTAGTAGACGATTCAGTCAGCCTAGTCAGTGACGAGAGCTTTGACATCTCACAGTACCACAACAAGTCCAGCAGTGATAACCAGAGGAATAAGAAATATTCTGAAATATTCAAAGAAATCAAACATCAAAGAAGAAAACGTATGCTCAAAGTGAAAATCACTAAAGAACTGGTGAGTGCCAAAGTTAGGCTTCGCAAGCCTCGGCCAAAAATTACTATTGCTCCAAAGAAAAAACTAATGAAAAGGAAAAAGAAACTAATTTTTGAATGGTTAGTTCTTGGGGGGGAGAGAATGTAATAAGCTATGTCTAATCTATGCCTGCCTTCTTTCATATACAGTTTAACTAACATATGTTTTATTGATTATTATGGTTTTTGTAAACAGTCCAAAAAAATACACATCTTTGGTCAAGTCTATCATTTTTGTCTTGTCTGTCTATAATATTTTTAACAAAAATATTCCCTAAAAATTGTCAGATTTATTTCCTATTCAATTAACATTAATTTTAGTGAGTAATTAGGTTTGCTGCTACAGGGAAGATATTGAGATGTGTTTTTTTTTTTATGACAATGTCAATAGCTTAGTATTAAATAAAGAAAATTTCAAAATTCGGTTTAGATATATCCATAAACAAGCAAACTACGACAGTTTATTTATTTTCCATAAGAATAACATGGGAATTTAAATTTAAAACTTTTTAAATTATCTCCGTAACTGGTTGGCATATAACAACGCTTCACTATGCAAAATTATTTCTTTTTTTAAGCTCTACAAAATTGATTTTAGAGAAATTAATTATCAAAAATTGTGTTTTTAGGGGTGTTTAGGTGTGTTTTTGGCCTCTGGGGACCTTAAAACAAATCGGTCCCGGGTCTAGGTCTTACCATGATATCTGCGGTAATAGCTTATTCCCTATACCCCATGGGAAATTCGCTAAAACAAACGAATACTAATTTCTCAAATCTAAGTGTTTTGTTCATGACGACAAACTTAGTCTGTGATTTCTAAGATAAATAACCCCGGAGATGAAATTAGGTTATTCAATTTAAAGAAGTCTAAACAAGAACAACTCAAAAGTAAGTACCGCATGGATTCTTTAACTTTTATATTTCTTTATTTACGACATAGTCTTCATTTGACATATGTACCAACCATTCTACGTATAATTAAGAATTCCATCTTCAAACATTACCTATCGATTTTCTTTACTACAGCTTTCAATAAATGATCATGTTGTGTCAGATTTACTACCGACAGGAAACGGTTTACATCAGTTTGGATTCGGTTCCGAGGGACGTAGAACGCTCTGTTATGTCCAGAGTTTTATTTCAAGTCATTGAGCCCGGTTCGTCACCTCATAAACCCACGCTAAATAGAACTCTAAGCAGAGTCCACGCAATAGTTCGTAATCCTTTCAAACTGACTAAGGAGAAGGTATTTCCCGTAAAGGTTATCTTTTCCATGGCTTTAAATAGGGCATATGGACAGAGGCTAACGAAGGAAGGTTTGTACGCGGCGGAGCACGTAATTTTACACATTGAGTTATTTGTGGCTTTATCAAGGGTTCGCTTTTTCATTGAAAACTATATCTGTGTAAAAAGCAAGTTTCAAAGACAAATCGTATATGGCAATATTATTACTTTAAACACAGTGTTCAAAGAGGTCCTGTAAACATGTAAAATTGTTATACATAAACTAAACATTATGTTTTGAAAAAAGTTAATTGTATAAAAAGTAAACCCACATCTATTCCTGAAGTATATTTTTATTTATACTTTACGCCTACACTCAAATCAACGATTCACTTACAGGCAGTTTTAACTGTATGTTGTGTACTTAAATAAGTGGGATTTGAGAAGGATTCAGTGTGAATGCTTCGCACGGGTCAGCTAGTCTTTTCAAAATTGAGATTTTTTTAGTAATAGAGGATAGTAGATATAATAGGTACTAAGATTAAGATTATAATAGATAAGTAAGGGTTTAGAAAGAAGTCTTGAATTGACTAAAAAATTTAATTGTGCTACAATTTAATTAATTATACTTACAATGATATAAAATTGTACAAAACTTTGTTCGGTAAAAACCAAATCATTGAGTAGCTTACAAACGATATCATATAGAAAATAAAAATATACAAGTTACACACAAAGACATTTTGGAATCCGTAGAGTCTACATTGTTCACTATTTAGTTTGCATACATATTATTTTTTATTGATTTTAGTACAAGTGATTTTGTGTACATGTTCCATGTTTTTGTTCAATTGTATCTAGTTAAAAGCAAATAAATCTAGTTCATTAGAGAAACAATGCTGAAAGATATTTGGGTGAGAAATGCTTAACTAAAAAAAAGATTCAATAGAATATACAGACATGCAAATAACTCTATACGTTAAAAACGTTATTAAAATAAACTTAATGTGAAATAAAAAACATATAAATATCATATACACAACAAATATGTTAAAATATTATTAAAACAATATTACAACATTTAAAACACATATAATTGGACGGAGTTAAATTACTAAAATATAATCATAAAATATTAAAATTGAACTTATAAAACATTATATCACTTAAAGAACTCTATAAAATACATAAACAGGAATTGTATCACAAAAGTGTGCTATGAATACTGTTATCAGTTTTCAGATTAAAATAATATTTTTGTAAATGTTGAAAATCCAAATGGAAAGTTACAATGACAAGTTTAACTCCATAACCTTAAAATGAATCAAACTACACAAGTTTAAAATAAATGCCTATACATACATGTATGTCTACTTCAAAATTTACAACAGATGTAGATCTGTGGTTTATTGGCCAAATTAAAGTATTTACAACTAGGCTTTACAGAATTACAGACACTACATATCTTGCTATAGAATTATATGTAAAAAAACCATTAGAAAGATTGTTAACAAAGTTAATCCAAACTATATGTCAAAGGAAATGTTTTGTAACCTTCAATTATTTGGAATTTTTCTTAACTGTTTTGCTTTTAAATTACTACTACCAAGGAATGCAACAACTGCTATTTAAACAGACACTTAAAATGTAAAATAGTTACACTAAATACGGAAATGTTCACATTTGTTGGGTATTTGTTCAAGATAAATTACAACCACTAACAAGAAATGCAATGTAAAAATACGCAACATAACTAACTCTGTGCGTTTGGAAATATGCAATTTCAAGCAACAAAATCATCATACGCAAAACTTAACCAACGCGAAGTACGAAACCAAGCTTTATAGCAAAGCTTATTTAACAGTGGACGGGTCATAAACAATTTTAAAACATAAAAGGATAGAATATAAAACTATTAAAACACAAAGTACAAAATAACAGACATGTTTAGATATTATTGGGATTGGAAATACGAATATGACTGTGTAGTTGAAGATGAGATTTGTAAGGCACTATGCTAGGTAGCTCCCCCCTCCACAGCGACTGTCGTCTGCGTCTAGCGGCCTAGCAACCACAAGAGTAGAGCAGCGGTCACCAGACCTAGACTCGAGCTCAGACTAGAGGCTCCCGCCAGTCTACACTTGAACATATCGTATCTGCAACGAACAACCAGAGCTTTAGAAAATATGACACCGTATACTTTTTAAAATAGATGTACAGTATGTTATTGATTGACAAAATATGAATTGGAGTCACTGCGAAGGAAAATAAACTTGCAAGAAAACATCAAGATCAGATTGCTCAATTCAATTAAAATATTCTTTATTTATACATTTGTACAATGGTACAACAAATAGCGTCAAAGTTAGAAATAGTAATGACAATAATCCTATATATAAAAACAGTTATACTAATTTTGTCTAAATAAAAGTAAATTAGTTAATGCATGATTGGTTATGTAAATTAATTTTTCAATCAATTGGTTTGATGTTTTACTCATGAACAATCAATCTAAACTCTGTGGTTTTCGAAAAAATCTGTTAGTGAATGTGGAGCTAATTTTACAAAATATTCCATTAAGTTATTCTCACATTTACTTATGTTTTGTTCACCAAGAAATTATCTTGGTAGATGAAACAAAAATTTAGTTCCCACATATTGATTTTTCTTTTTGAAAATTTCTAAATTGTGCGGTTCTAGCGGTCTATTTAATCTGGTGTTGTACATGTGAATGCTGTTTACAAATTTTTGATTTTCTAGATGCTTTACATACATTACAGTTTCTACAATGTAGAGAACATAAACAGTTAGGATGTTTGTGGAAATAAATAAATGTTTAACAGATTTACCCCTTTTAAACTTATACATAATTCTTAACGCGTTTTTTTTGTTTCCGCAATATTTTTTCTAAAATTTTCTGAGTTGTTGCTCCCTCCGTAAATGTTTATTCCGTAGGACAGGTGAGAATTAATTAAATAATAACAAAATGTTTTTAATGTTTCTAACTAACAAACTCAAGACAGACAAACCTGTTGACATTTTGTCTGAGTAACATAACGTTGCCCAGCTCAGATTAGCGTCAATGAAAAGTCCTAGAAATTTTGTAACTTCTACAAAAATGGTCTAATTGTTTGTCATCTAAATAGATTTCTGGTTTCAGTTTGACCCTTGCTTGTTTCGTACAAAAAAGATATGAAAGTGGATTTACTTGAATTAAGAAGACGGTTTACCATCAAGGAAATTTTGTATAATTGGGAGACTAATAAATGATGCAATTTCAATACTCTCCTTGGAATCCCCTGTCACGACAGTGATATTAGAGCCATCGGCATATAAACATAAGTTACTGTTTACGGGTTGTAAGTCAGGTAGCCCTTTTATGTAACACAGAAACAATAAAGGTCCTAAAATTGACCCCTGTGGTATTCCGTGTTTAATTTTTAAATTTTGAGAGTTAAACTTCCGTATATAGTCATAGTGATTTTTTTGCTATTACTAGGCTACAACGTAAAACAGCATAGCCTCCTCTAATACAAGGCCGCATCGAGAAAAGTGGCAACGCCGCAGTCCCGGCCTACCGAACAGCTGATGCACTAATTAAAGGAGCTTCTCCCCAACGTTTGTGTAAGCAATGTTTATGTTTACACGTCTGTTATCGTCATGGCAATACACCGACCGATGCGACGTTGCCAAATGCCAACACCGGCTTATTTACTCTAACAAAAATAACTATAGCATAGCATTTAGATTTTCTTTGCATTTGCATTGACAAAGGCATTGTTAAAGCCGGAATTCAGTGGACATATAATCCTACATGCTCACTGCTCATAGATAAACCACATATAATAATTAAATATTTAACTGTGTGCACCATTACGTTGTCAC